TGACACCTTCCCCCCCCCTTTAGCCGGTTTTTCACCCTCTTGCCTGCTTAAAGTGGTGGGTGCTACACCTACAGAAATCCCCCAGTTAGCAATCCTGGTGGGGGAATTCTGGGAGTTGAAATCCATACATCTTCAAGCTGCCAAGGTTGAGGAACATTGCTCTTAACCTTCTGGAAGGCCATAAAGAACTGATTCTTCCCCCAAAGGCTGGGATAAGGTGGGGTGGGAGACTGAAGATGGTGGTGTTGGCTCCAGGTTTTTATAGTGTTTTGGTTGGGTACCACTGCTGTGAGCCAACTAGAGTTGTGCCTCCCCAGATGGGTGGCCATAGAAGTCTTTTAAATTCATAACATTAAATAAAAATGAAAATTCTACGGAAGATGTTTGCAGTTCTTCCACATAGGCTCTGCACCCCTGCTGTCAACTGCTTTGGCAACTGAACTGATTTTCTTTGGTATCTCCGTCATGCAAGAAGAACCACGCTGAAGGTCATTACTGACATTCATCGATGACTAGAAACCTCTTATGGACTTTTTGCGTGAGAAAGAAAATGATTTTGTGATTTATGGTTTTGATGATTAGAAAGAATAGGTTATAGAAAGAAGGGAATCATGATGAAATTGGAAAGCGTGGCTTGACATGCTTTCTATTTTCTTTTTCTTTTTTTCTATCCTCTTTTCTCTTTGTTTTTTTCTCTTTTCTTTTCTGTTTCACACTCACTTTGCTATGTATTTTTCCTTGAATGTATTATTATTTATGTCAAATCTCTTAATAAAAATGATTTTTTTAAAAAAAAGAAGAACCATGCTGAACCTGATTTTCAGCTGGAAGTGCTGAAGGTCTGTGGAGCAGCCCATTTTTCTCTTGGAAGGCTCTCTTGCCTCATCCATTCTCAAGATTCTGCCTGACCCCTCTTCTCTTCTGCAAGGGATAAGCTTGTCTATTTGGAGGTGTTATTTCTTGCCTTTATTTCCCTTTTGAGTGAGGGGTTTCTGCTGCTACAGGACCTGTAACAGCTTCAGGGTTTGGAGAGTGAAGAGAGAAGATGACTACAGTTGTTCTAAGACATTGGCCAATAGAAATGGTGGTGGTGTCAAAGTGACCAAAACATTGCAGTCCGGCACTACGTACAGGTGTTCAGCCCTCCAGGTTTCCCATTTCTCCACTAGGAGGACCTCTTGCCTCAACCCTCCTCCTGAACATCAGCTTCCTAGAGGTTCTGCAAGTGGAAAGTTGACTTAACAGCTTTGCATCCCCCCACTCCCTCAGTAGCCCAGGCAAAAAAGAGGAGAGAAGGACACTGAAGGATTTTCTTCTTGTCTTCTTTGGAGGATAAGTGGATGCAAAACACCAGACTACTGTTTTAACAAGTTTTGTTTCTTTCTTTTTACATAGAGGAGGAAGGCAGAGATTTTTGTTGCAGAGGATCTGGGCAGCTCAAGGGTAAAGGGGTGAATTTGTTTCTGGTTTTTGGGGTTTACGGGTTGGCAGAAATAAAGATGATTGCAGGCTGTTTCCCAGTTGCTTTTGAGAGATTGAGGAATGGAAACTGAGACAGTGTAGAAGGGGCCTAAGAAGTATGGAGTGAAGCAGCATAAAAAGAAATGTTGGCACATCCTTTGCAAATGGGTCAAGAAAGAGCCATTCCTCCAGGATTAACTTGTCATTGTCAATGAAGTCCTTGTCATTCCTTAACAAAATCTGGATCCTAAGGCCATGTCTCACTTTATCTAACCAGGGCACCAACATGCTTTGGCATGTTATCCTATTTTTGCCATGTCCCCATAACATTGCCTTCATCTTATCCCTAGCCCATGAGGGAGACAGGGTTAAGTCATCCTTAGCTGTGTTAAAATAAATTTTTCTCTCTTTGAGGGAAGCCTCAAGGTGGGTCACATCTGTAGGCTTTGGCACTCTTCATCGTGGACAGAAGTCAGAAGCAATTGAGGCAGGAGAAGGATTGGCAATGCAGGCAGCCAATTCCATGTTGCTATACTTTCTGCTGACTTAGGAATGAGTGAAGAGCACTGTAATTCAGTGCTGGGAAAGCTCTAAAACTAACAACCTAAACTGGCAGAGAAAGAGAGAATGAACCATCTCTTTTTAGGTTTGAGGACCCATAGAAATGGACAACCTAGCTCTTTCTGCTGTCATCAAGTTCCTTACATCCATTAAGCTAGTCTGCTCTGGAATTAAATAAAGGATTTGGTGTGCATCATACAGTTTATTTTCGATCTTGAGAGACCCACAGCTAAGCCAAGTAATACTTCTTCTGCTCTGTTCATTCTGCAGAAGGCTGTTTGGAACGGCCTGTTTATTATTCACCCGGTGACAAAATTTTTGCTCTGTCAATCTTTGTCCTTTCTTTAAGGCCGTGTTGATTATCTGTTGGGTTGTCCGATAGTCTTCATCCTCATCCATTGGCCGAGTATGATGGAACAGTGGCAGTGACATCCCATCCCTCCATTTTAGATAAGTTCTCCTAGACTTCCAAAGGTCTGCTCCTGAGATCAAATCCACGCTTCCATTGCTCAAATGGGATGGGAGGTAATACGATATGGGACACATACTCTGGATGCAGTGCCCAGTTGAACGAAGTGTTGGCTGCTCCTAACTGAGGCAGATGAGGTGCAGGAACATCCTTAGGTGATCAAAAAAGTCAAGATGGCAGCTTCATTTGTGTGATCAAAGCCCTGTCCTTTTTAAACAAGCTTCATGCAAAAAAGGGGTGGGGTTTCAGTTGCACAGTCATCACTAACATCTTGACTTTTTTCACCTGTCTACAGATGCACTCGCTAGGGATGCACAACCAGAACCTCAAACACTCCCCTACAAGCTTTGGGTGCTGCCCCCTGCATTTCTCCAAACATTGAATTATCATTTCTAAAGTGACAGATGGAAAAGTTGCTGAGGACCAGGGGAGTGACTCTGTTTCCTGTTTAATTGAATCTAAAGTTGTTGTGTAATATTAATATAGAAGGAGTGGTCTTTCAGTCTCTTGTGCCTCTAAATGAAGCTGGGGAAGAGCTCTGCCTGAAACACTGAAAGAGTTGCTGCATTACAGGCTGCATTACATTCAGGCAACATGCTTAACCCGATCAGAGAAAAATCTAGGCTTAGTTAGTATTCATCTTGGTTAATCTTGGTTAGGGTTTCCCGTGGCTTGGCATGTTGCATCAGTCCAGCCCATTAACTAATTAACAATCCATTCTGTTTTAATGTATTTTATGACCTGTCCCAAATGGGTTAGTTCAGTAACCAGAATACTGGTGTTATGTGAACACAGCCAATACTGAGCTGGCTGAAACAAGTCAGTGACTAGGTTCATACAATGTGCTTAATCTGGCTATTGAATTCACCCATTTTCTGGTTCCAAACAATACATTGACTAACAAGCTATCTAAACAAGTTGGGCTTATACAACTTGCTAAGCCAGGACAATAAATCAAGATTAATTTATTTTATTCAATTGAGGCACTGCCCAACTCTGAACTGACTTTGGGCAGTGTACATAAAACTAAACAGAATAAAATATAATAAAATAATTATAAAAAGAGAGAAGGAAGAAATAAAGAACAGGAACTACTGGCAAGTCTGGCTAACCACACCCACTCCCTGAAACAAATCCCACAGGGACCCCAACAACCCTCACTCAAGTCCCGGGAGATGCCATCAGGGTGGGAGCCACATGGATGTCAGGGAGAATCTCATTCCAGAGGCAAGCTTCTAGGGTCCCAGTAGTTGGCCTTGTTTAACTGAAAGGAGCATGCCAACTCTGTCAGATCGAACCAGCTTGTCTGATCAGTCCCTCAAGTAACCAGGCCTTATACCATGTAGGGCTTTGTACTGTAGGTCATAACCAGCAGCTTGAATCACACCCAGAAGCATACTGGTAACCAGTGCAGCATGTGGAACAGAGGTATCACATGGGTGTGCCAAGGCATGCCCATCACTGCCTGCTCCACTGCATGCTGGACCACTGGAAGCTTCCAAGTGGTCTTCAAGGGCAGCCCTGTGTAGAGCACACTGCAGTAGTCAAGCTGTGAGATGACTAGGGCATGAGTGACCTAGCTTGGCCTATGGCTCAAATGTTCTACTGGGTCTTTAACTGACTTTCTGCAAAATCATCCCGTAAAAGGCAACTTACTTATGCTCTATGTCAGCTTGCCCAATCAATAAGGTCCCGTTGTTGACCCGTTGGGTTGCTCTCAATGCAAATGTAAAAACTGAACCAAAGAAGAGTATAGGAAAAAGGGTCTGTATTTCAAATGTGTTTTGCACTCCTGTGTTTTCAGGAAAGACGATTTTCCACTTAGGCGTCAAAAAGAATAATAATTTTTTTTTAAAGTCCATGGCAGGGAAATTAGCACACCAGACGGAGATTGAAAGCGAAGTGAGCTGCGTTTTTTAAAAAAATTGTCATTTTTCATTTTCATTTACACTTTTACATAAATTAGAAGAGAGTGTTTAGAAGGATTCAGTTTCTATATGTTCTCACAAACATATAGTTATGGATTTAAAGCAGGTCTATAAAAACCTGTAGAAATCCTGCCATGCTAATGCAGTCAATAAAGTGGACACAATTTTTAGTGATTTACACATCCCTAAATGCAATTTATCTGAAGGGCAGCAGATTGAAGAACACTGGGTTTCTCTGAAGCATCATCAGAAATTTGAAAAGAGTCAAGGAGAAATCATGGCCATCTTCCCTTGCAAGAAGCAGAATTCCCATTTCTGTGCTGCCCAGGATTTTGTACCAAATAAATATAACAAAAACATCCTATCAGAATCGTCATTCAGGCTGGTGGTTTTTCCAGTCTGCTGTGTTGCTATGGTTAAACGTTGGCTCAGCTAAGGGAGTGGCAGCCATCCAACATGGCTGCGGTTTCACCACAGCCAAGAAGAGCAGAGCAAAAGATTTTAAGGAGCGAAATTACAATGAAAACAAACTCAGCAACCATGCCTTGAAAGGTTGGTAGCTTAAACAAGGTTATTGAGGAAGGAGAAGGACAAAATCTGGATGCTTGGGAGGACTCCAAGGCTTGCAAATATGTTCAAAAATCCTAATGTACACCCTCTCCTTCTTGAAATAAGCCAATGAACATTAAGTATCTTCAGATCTTTCCAACAATGCTGAGATCTGTGGGAAAGGAAAACAAGATAGAATACCCTGGATAAACCTGGATAAAAACAGGTTTACTGTGGGAAAGTTAGACACTCTCTGCTGATTACAACACTTATTGTAACATTTATAATATCTTCTGTCCATAATGATTATATTTTGAACATTTGAGTTAAGATGACAAATGGCTAGGCTTTTAAAAGAGAGGTCATTTTATTAACTCCTCAAGAAAAAGGCATTTCTCCATGGTGTTTTCCAACACTCACCTTTCCTTCTCTGGGAGAAAATTTGAAAGATTCCTGAGTGATTCGCCTGCTGTAATTTCAGATGTTTCCCTCAAAGTCCTACACTAGGACCAAGAATTTGGGCTGGGCTTCTGAAGTAATCCAAAGAGGAGCAAAATATGACTGTGTCCAAAGAATCTCCATAGCAAGAAAGAAAGTAGGTGATGAAGTCCAAGGAAGGCTATACACTGTCTAGCATTGATCTCCTGGAAATGGAAGGAGAACATGGTGGTTTTGAAGTCCTGATCAACTCCTTAGTAAATGGCACTTCTGCTGCCATAGCATTGAATTTAAGCCTCCCTTAAAATTAATGATTTAAGCTCACCTCTTTGATTCACTTTCAACCAGGAGCTGCCAGCTATTGGGTTGTGGTTAGGGAAATAAGTGGTTGATCTTGGTGGTGGACTAAGGTTGGACTGGAATGGACTAAGATAATACAGACCTCCTCTTTCAGGTCAGAATCAGAGCCTTCACATTAGTGCAGAAAAGCTCCATTTGTAAACTTAGGGAAACACTCTTCATCTAAGGAATATGGTAGTCATGCACATCTTTGCAAACCAATTATTTTTAATAACATTATTTGCCGGAGAGGCAAGTGTGTATTTCTTCCTAATGAAATTTTGCTTCAGACAACTTAAGTGTCATCTTCCTCTTTCTAATTTTAAATTAGAAAGTAACTGCCAAAAATGGATTTCAAAAAATAGAGAGAGCAAGAGAAACAGGATCTGACAGGCTCCTGAATGACCAATTCATTTCAGGGAGGATTTTCTCAGAATAGGAGTCCAGGGAGAAGCGTCTACTTTTCATGTCAAAAATATCAGCTCCAGAATCTCCAGTGATTAGGGACACTGCCCGAAGAACTTCAAATAATGAATATTTTGATGGTCTTGACATAACATATTTCTCCTGATTGCAGAATTAATCCATTGCATAGATTCAAGCACTGAATCACTGACTAAACCAGCTAGGATTGGATAACATTAACCCAAGTGAGCAACAAGCAAACTCAGCATACTGCTAATGCATCTGCAGCCTCTCTGGGGACCTGGTATTAAACCTGTTGTGTGAACGTAGCCATGAAGAGTCTGAAAGAAAATGGCATGTTC